GGCCAGACAGGTGTCACCCACAGGCCACATTTGGCCCACGGGCCTTGTGTTTGACACATGTGGTTTGAACCATTATGTCCTCAGTATCAGTAGAACCTTTAGCTTTCTTTAAAATACAAAAAGGGGCCAAGAACTGTGAATTAACTATAGATATTTAATTCAGAACAACGTTGTTATTATGAAGACAGTTAGAGCGAACTGTAATTATGTCTTCGCTCGGCTTCCGTAGGCATTCCTTCACTGTCAGTCAGCGGCGGTGACAGTCAAACATCGGGAAGCTCTGGTTCTGAAATATGGAGGAGATTAACAGCATTGAAGTGGTTCCGTGCACAGAGTCCAACTACCTGAAACCGTTCCGGGTGTCCTACAACCAGGTGAGCCGCCTCCCGTGTGGAGGATGCTGCTGGGGGCTAGCCCACCCCCGCCTCTCCCCATTCATTTAGCTGCTAGCATCAGGCTACAATGCTAACCACAAACACTGAGGAGCTGTTAGCAGTTTAACAGCAAAATGAGAGTTAGCATGTGTAATCTGTGTGTTTTAATCCCACCACGGCTCAGTTTGAGTCACTCTGTCTGTAGTTTATTAAACCAGCTTGGCTAACATGCTAATGCTAACGTTAGCCATGCAGAGGAGTAGTTTTAATGGCTGAACGTCACGTTATTCAGCACATGCTTTAAATTATTACTGGGAATGACATGTTCAGCTGCTGGCCCAAATTCAGTTATACAAATACAAACAACGTCTTCACTGTTGTTCAGGTTGAGATTATATTTCACTGCCTGATTTATTTATTTATTCTTTCAGTGAACAAGGCTATGTTTGCTAAATCCTGGTGGAGTTAGCTGCAGAGMAAACACTTTTTTCAGTAAACAGGAAGAAAATGTTATTATAATTAATCCTGATCCTGACTGAGTTTTTGAACCACAGATTTAGTTGTTTGCTCACTGATGTTTAAATATTTTTATCATTAACTGATGTTTAAGCCACCATGTTGGTGTTAAATGAGTCTTTACTGTGATGACAAAAATATATTATTATATTATAAAGTTAAACAGTTTTGATTGATATTGTACCCTGTGTAAAGCCAGTGTTGTATAAAGTACCACAAAGTGATACTTGAGTAAAAGTACAAGTATCTTACCAGAACATTACTTTGGTAAAAGTTAAAGTGTCCTTTAGGAATATTACTTGAGTAAAAGTGTTGAAGTATGTGATATTTGTTGTAGTTAAGTAGTAAAAGTGTTAAAGTATGTGATATTTGTTGTAGTTAAGTATTAAAAGTGTTAAAGTATGTGATAT